GGAGCGGGTCCAGAGGAGGGCCACAAAAATGATCCGAGGGCTGGAGCACCTATCCTATGAAGACAGGCTGAGAGAGCTGGGCTTGTTCAGCCTGGAGAAGAGAAGGCTGTGGGGAGACCTGATTGCGGCCTTTCAGTACTTAAAGGGAACCTATAGGAAAGATGGGGACAAACTTTTTAGCAAGGCCTGCTGTGTCAGGACAAGGGGGAATGGTTTTAAACTAAACGAGGGTAGGTTTAGACTGGATATAAGGAAGAAATTCTTTACAATGAGGGTGGTGAAACACTGGAACGGGTTGCCCAGAGGGGTAGTGGAGGCCTCATCCCTGGAAACATTCAAGACCAGGTTGGATGGGGCTCTGAGCAACCTGATCTAGTTAGCGGTATCCCTGCTCCTGCGGGGGGGTTGGACTAGATGACCTCTAGGGGTCCCTTCCAACCCAAAACATTCTATGGTTCTATGATTCTATGATATTTCATTCTGTGTTTAAAAAGGCAGGCTTCTAAAAAGATTGTCACACGTTTGTAACTTTTTTTAATACAGTCAGCTGTGTCATTGTACCTCACTGTAATGCCAAATAAGCAACAGACTAGTCTCTTCAGTCAAAAGTAATGTGAACAGTCACCTTCTGAGTTGCTTCAAGAATATAAATGTCTTGAAAGGAAGTAATGCCGTGTTTTGTTCGTTTTAAAATATAGCGCTTATTCCACCTGTTTCACTAGCAGTGCAAAAGCTGGAAACCTGTGGTCTAATGCTGATAGGGCAAATAGGAATAAGTCATGTTATAAAGCTGATAACTAATATTGGTGGTGTGTGTAGGATGGTGAAAATGCATCTGCTGAGGAAAATGCCGAGGATGTAGAGGCTCCATCTTCATCCAGAAAAGCATCCGTGAAATCCCAAAGCCAGGATGAAACTGACGGTAAATGTTAATGTAATCATTTCTGTGAAAAATAGATTTAAAAGGTCATTGAAAGCATTTTCGCTTTGATAACTGACTTTTTATAGATACCTGTCAGCTTCTTTTGAGCCTATGGGTATTGAAGCACATTGTTAGAATGTCTATCTTTGTATCTGAGTCATAGCCAGGGTTTTAACTTTGTTCAATGTTTTTAAGGGGCTGGATCTGGCCAACTGGCCATCTTTTTCTGGGAAACCCTCCATTTTTCCCCTCCTGGCTTCTTAACCACATGGTCTCAATTATTTACTCACGCTAAAGTTACAAATAATTTGAAGTTTTTAACTTATCTCAAAAAGTTGTCTGTCTGTTTTGTTTTGGCTTTTTTCCTGTTCATCTCTTCGCTAGTCTTTTGCTGAGACTTGAATGTTTCAGAATATTTGATTCTACTGTGTGAGCATTGCCTTCTTCTGTTGCCATCCAAAGTGAAATAAAATAGCTACAAAGAGATGTTTCTTTTTTTTCTCTCTTTGTGTTTTTTCTCCCTTTGGCATGTTCAGAGTGCCTACATTTATTTCTCTCCTTATTTTCTGCTGGATATTCCAGACTTCCTGGCTGGCTTGCTTTGTGCAGTTAGTGGGATGGTAATATCTCCTGAGGCACCTTAGCAAAATAAACTTGACTTCCTTGGGGTTCCTACATAGTGCAAGGACTTGCAGGAAGGTGTAGGAGCAGCACTTCAGTCTTTAGTTTGTATCAGTCCTTGTTGATCCCATGCCTCGGGTTCTGGATTTGAGCTTGGGCTTTAGAGTGCTGCAGTCTGTTTCAGGCACCTTCTTTTCATAAGCTGTACTCCGTGCACCGGTCAGGGCGTATTCTTATGGAATTGCCAATGCTGTGAGATAGCAAAGTGCAATGTTTGATCTTTGTGTTGGTTCTTATACTTTCACTACAAATTCTCATAATTCTGTTTGGTTTTTGTTTTGTTGTTGGGTTGGTTTTTTTCCTAAATATCAAAAATAGGCCTTAAATTGTCTTGCCTAAAGTGTGCGTCAGTGATGCCTCGATTTTGAAAGTGTGGCCAGACCTCATCCTAGGACAGAAAATGAATACTGAAGTGTGGTTAGAGCCAGATATCTGTGGTTCTTTATTGGCCACTTCTTTTTGCTGATGTCTCTGAAATACTTCCAAGCTGCTCTTTTCTGCTCTGTATTCCACTCAGTCTGTTACTTGTTTTTTCATGCACGTCATCTTTATCTAAGAAAAAACATATTCTGATAGATTTGTGTGATAGTGTTACCTCTGATCTTACTACAGAGAACACAGGAGTCTCAAGGGCAGTCAGAATCAAGGAAGCATTGATAATATTTATCACTATTTGAAGAGTTGCTATTAGAACCAGACTTAGGATATTCAGAAGAAAAATGTTAAAAAGGTCATTGTTAAAATCGCCTTTGATACACAAGTCTTCAGAGCTAATTTGCTACAGTCTTCAGATGATTCCTACAGCCAAGGAGACTGAAATAAAAGGGGAATTAATTAATAATTAGTTGTTTTCAGATGGGGGGAAGAAAAGTCTTGATTTTTGGATGCTTAGTGTCCTAGTCAGAATAAAACCAACCAAATATATCCAAGTCAGAAAAAAAATAACAAACACCCCTTCCCCCCATAAAATCAGGTTTAGTACCCAATTCCCTCTTGTATGTAGGGAATACATGATAGATTTATTTTCAGTTCCAATTTGACCCTGTGGTTATTCTTCTATTAAATATTTAGATGCCCAATCCTCCAGCTGGAACCTTTGAACAATACATAGTTTCATAATTTGCATAGACATAGAGTTATGGGCGGTTATAACCCTGGTTTAATTTAGTAATGAAAAGTTGTAATTAAAAGAAGTGAAAATTTTTAAATTATATGCTTTAAACATATTTATTTTGGATATATAGCATCATATTTTATTTTAAAAATGTTATTTCTTTTTCTTGAGAAATGTGAATAATCTGGATTTTGCATTTACACATGTTAAAAGGTACTTATTCTCATGGATGGAATGGTTACAAGATCTTGTTTTAAATTACTTCTAAAAATTGGTTGCTGCATTATTGTTTAGTATAATTGTCTGCTTACTTAGCCTCTTCAGCTAAAAAGCTTTATTCCATCCAACCAGTTCATCGCTTGAAAATTGCTTAATAGCTTCTCTTGTATGTTGAATAAACTGTTGCTTCGTTCTGTGTGTTCCTCCATGCTTTCATTTCAAATATCCAAAAAATGTTAGAGGCTGGGGAATACTAAGCGTTGGTGATGAATAACGCAGAGTTTTAAAACCAAAGAGGTTGCTAATAGTTTTTCTGCATTTCTGCAGGCCTTTTTCTTATAGAATAGCTGTTTCAAGTGGGCTACTAATTATGAAGAATTCCGTTTTCTCTGCACTTGTCCTGATAAGCAGCGTGTATTCTTGATTATATCATAAACCGTTTTTGCTTCTTTCTCAACCAGGAGAAACTTCAGATGGCGTCAGTAAATCTGTTCATCGGGTCTTTGCGTCCATGCTTGGGGAAAATGAAGAGGAGGAGGAGGAGGAGGACGAAGAGGAAGAGGAAGAGGAAGAAGAGGAAGAAGAAACTACTGAGCAACCCACAGCTGGAGATGTTTTTGTGTTGGAGATGGTACTTAATCGAGAGACCAAGAAAATGATGAAAGCAAGTATTTAAACTTTCATGTAACTTCCCTGTATCTCCTGAAGCATAGTGCACAAATGCCAATTTGTATGATTTTGGCTACTTGCTGAGAAACTTGCCTGAAAATAATTCCATATAGGATACTTCTGAATTATGTTGGTGTTACCTGTCTTTGTTTTTTAAAAAAATACTGTAGATTACTGTTTCAAAACTTTCAAAAATAATGAAGTGAGTTTTTCCAGTGTCTGGACTGTGTATTGGGTATCAGAGTAACTGTCAGTTATAAAAATTAGCAAATGTTTTGCTCAGTCATTTTAATATCACTAGTACTTAACTAACGTGTTATTAGGTTGTGTTAAGCACAAGTGTAACTGATGTCTCCTGAATTTGGGTGCAGCTGAATCCTCAGTAGAAATAATACCTTTTTCCCATTTAGGAGAAAAGACCTCGCAGCAAACTTCCTCGTGCCTTGAGGGGTCTGATGGGAGAGGCCAATATCAGGTTTGCTCGAGGAGAACGTGAGGAGGCTATTCTAATGTGCATGGAAATCATTCGACAAGGTATGTTAGAGTGGCAAAACATTTTGGCTGTAAAGATGGGGTGAAATTGCCATGTGTATCAGGGAAATGCAGTGTGGCTTCACTGATGAGGAAAAGTGCTTGGTACAAGGAAAGTCACTTCATAAGTAGTGAGGAATTAAGAATATGTAGTGCATTTCCTTTATTATTTTGATAATAAAAACAAACTAGCACCCTAATTCTGGCTGGGTCTTTGCTTAGCTGTGCACAGTTTTCTTTTATTGTCTTTGTAGAACCAAGTTACAAACATCAGCATGACTTACAATGTAGAATAATGCTATAAATGGTTGTTGTTAAATTCAGTCCGGCTGTTTAATAATTTATAAAAGGAAATTGAAAGCTTGTCTACAAGTTTTTTTTTAATTTAAACAGAGCAATGTTAATGTTTCATATAATTCTGGTATCTGTTGTTTGCAGAAAGGCAAGTTATTTGTTTTCCAGGTGATTTTGAAACAATAGTTCTTAATCATTCTTTTTGTCTTTTCACAGCTCCTCTTGCTCACGAGCCATTTTCCACTCTTGCCATGATCTACGAAGACCAGGGTGATATGGAGAAGTCATTACAGTTTGAACTGATTGCAGCTCACTTAAACCCTAGTGATACTGAGGAATGGGTTAGACTAGCAGAAATGTCACTGGAACAGGACAATATTAAACAGGCTGTTTTTTGCTACACAAAAGGTAGCGTAGCAGCCATTCTAATAGTTTAAAGTAAATGTTAGGTGCTAATGGCAATAATTTTGATTTCTTCTGCTTTCTAATTTAGTTTGCTGCAGTTTGCTAAGATTCTGGTACCTCTGTCTGGACTTTGGTAAAAGATTAATGAATCTTTAATATAGGATGTCCTTTTCTGACAAAAACCATATGCATGTTCATTAACATTCATTTAGGCAGGGAAATGAATGTGAAATCCCTTGTTGCCTTTTCCTAAACTGGGCTACTAATACACTTTTTCTTGTAGCTCTGAAATACGACCCAACCAATGTGCGTTACCTGTGGGAGAGATCAAGCCTGTATGAACAGCTGGGGGAACATAAGATGGCTATGGATGGCTACAGGCGTATTTTGAACCTCCTGTCTCCTTCCGATGGAGAGCGCTTTATGCAGTTGGCTAGAGACATGGCAAAGTAAGTTGGATTTAAAAATACTGTGATTTGGTTTTCCAGAGTTTCTCAAAAGTTGTTATTAATAAGCTCTGCAGCTGATTCAAGCTGGGTATGTAGCTGAAATCAAGGAATGCAGGTGGTTTTGCTGGGGGTGACCCCCAGACGAGCATGCACCCTCCAGCTATTGTGACATTTCCAAAGCCTGACACATGGGAATTATCCTGACTAGGATCAATGCATCATCTTAGAAGTCTTGCATTTATCATAGAGTGAGAGAATAAAACGCAAATACTGGTTACTGGAAAAATGCCAATAGTATAGTTATATACATATACAGTACGTTTTTAATCTATATAATATCGCTAGAGACCTGGAAACTTATTGCCGCCAAATCTGCATGAAACAAAGTATTCAATCTGAAGTACAAACCATCTGTAACAGAGTATAGTTTGTATGTCATTTGTGATTCGTTTCTGGAGCGAGTGGAAATCTGCCTCCTCCCCTTTCCTGCTAATGAGAGCAGATCAAGTCACCAAAGCTTGCCTGAGACAGAGGTTGTGGTTCAAGTGCGTAGCTCTCTTATGGTAGTTTTTACTAAGTCGTTTAACCACTTTATATCTCAGCTTTCTCATGCATAACTTGTAGTAAGCTCTTATTGGCCTGTTTCAAAGCAGTTTAAGTCTTTTGATCTTTGTGGTTGTGAAATGCACCAAAACCATGCAAGGATGTGTATTGTAACAATATTATTAGCGAAGGTTTTATTGAAACCGGGTTAATGTGATACATTATTGATACCTGGCTCAAAGTGGGGGACATTGTGATGAAAACTCCAGTAATGTCCTAGCACATAGGGGAGGAAAAAACGGTAATTATTTGAAATACATAAAAATTGTCAGCAGTTGTAAGGAAGGAAAAAACACCCCCTTTCTCACTGTCTTTATAACTTACTCTTGCTAATGAAAATATTTGCAAATAGGCAAAAATAAAAGAAATATGAAAATCCTTTTGCTTGTGTTCAAAGTACATATTGTCAGTTATCTCAAATACTTAGTATCTCATACCTGTGTTTTATAGGAGTTATTATGAAGCCAATGATGTGAACTCTGCTATAGAGATAATAGAAGAAGCCTTTACTAAACACCAGAGCCTTGTCTCCATGGAAGATGTTAACATCGCAGCTGAACTATATATTTCTTCCAAACAGTATGACAAAGCATTGGCGGTATGGAGAATTAAATGCATTTCTGTATCATGTTCAGCATCTCTTTGCCAGCCAGCATGAACAGTTAATATTCCTGTAGTGCTTAAATCTGGTCATGTTTCTATAGTGATAGAGCTGATCAGATAGAGCAGATCAGTAATTAGCTTTGAAATTAATGGCTTGATTTAATAAGTTGGGGGCCGATAGATTTGTGTGCTGTTCCAGGTTTAAAATTTTGGGATCCTTCCTCTCCTTTTCTACAATTATCATAATCTTAGCAGCCAGCGAAGACCTACGAGCTGGTTTAGTGAGTACTACCAGCTAAGGGCATTCTCTAAGTTGAAGGTTAAAAGGGTGACACAGAATGGTCTGATGGTTCAAATGCAGACCTTTGTGCTTTATCTGGCATACTTGTGTTACGACTAATAATTTATGCATTAAGCATCAGGCATACATTCCAGAAAGGTAATACAGCTTGATTCTAAGGCATCAGGAATTGGAGAAGGTCGCTTCTCTGTTCCCAATTTGTTCTAGTGGTTTTTAACCTTCACTATTGAAGTAGGTTTCTGGGTTGATTTGGTCTGGCTTTGAGAGGAAAGACTTTAGTATCTGGCCATTGTTATACTTTCTAAGATATATTGAAGAGACGCTATTAGTTGGGACTTTCTCCTTATGAACATTCTTATTTGCTATATCTCATTTGATACTAAATTACCTCCTTTTTTTAAGCTCCTTAGGATTTTATTTACTTTTCTCTCTGTCAGTGCAAAGCATCATGAGCCTGAAAACAATTCCTCTGACCCTTCTCTGTACTTCTTCCCATTTTAAAAATCAGTCATTTTTATGAACACAGTATTTAGCTGCCAAACTTATTAATACAGTACTCAGTCGTAGAAATGTTCCCCTGTTTCTTCATGATGGTTCTCCTCAGGTCTATTCCTGTGATGGTGTTTCTTGTTCCCAGATAGCTGAAACTGTATTTGAGCTAGTAAACTAAGCCTTTAAAAAATAACTACCTTAACACAATCATCTGGTATGGTCCTCTCAGGGCCATGTACTCTGTGTTTATCACTCTTGTTTGGCAACAGTAATGACTGAAGTATTTACTTTTCAATTCATGAACAAAATACCAAACTATATTGGTAGACCAATGGTCCTTTACGCTTCTGCATTTCCCCCCTTGAAGCTCCCCATTGGCAAGCGAAGGTCTTGAATTGTCTGTCTTTGGTTTCTATTTTTTTTTAACTAGTTGTTCTGTTGAATCAGACTAGTTTTATTGGGGTCATGATGTGTGTGACCAGGGCTGTTGTAAAATGTCTGTATGTAGCTGTGAATTTTACTTAATTATTTCTTTTAACTGAGACAAACCACATGGTTTCCTTGCAATGTATTAGGCTGAGGAATCCGTGGAACACTTCTGAAAGATCTGTGGAGAGCTTAGCTGTTTACCTGGTGCTTTGCTTTCTTTTTCAATCTTCCAAAAGGCATTAAAAGAAGCTATAAAAGTTAAAAACTTTTCTAGCTGTGATGAAAGTAACCATTGTATTTGCTAAAGAGATGCTGATTGGATCATCTAAATAGTTCAAAAATAGTGGAGAAAGACATATAAGGTGATCAAACTCAATATTAGTCAACTAACCCCATGTGAAATGAATGCAGCTTTTCTTCTGATAACTTTTGCGATGTCTAAAACAACTGCCATGTGGGCTGGTTACTCTATATATCCTTTAAATCTTTAAAATGATCCAAGTTGCTTGTCTGTTTTAGGTTATTACAGATTTTGCAGGAATTGTACTTGAAAAGAAAGTATCAGAAAAAAGTCCAACCGAGGAGAAAAAAGGTAAGTAGCTAACAAGCGGTTAGTATGACCCTGCTGTTCGTCTAATATGACATCTTTCTTTCCATTACCTTTTCAACTCATGGGTATATTTTGATGCATGTTGACAGGCTTTTCTCCTTTGAAACTTTTCAGTGTTTTTAATGAGTTACATGGCATGACCTCGGCTTTCTATAAGGAGTTACTCTGATATCCAATTAGCCCTGCTGACTCATTAAGGACAAGAACTGCTCTCCAGGCAACTGGAGGCCTTTTAAAGTTCTAAACATTCCTCAGAGTGTTCACATCAGGCCAATTATTTCTGCCAGCTAAATAGCTTCTGAAAAAAACCCTAGATAAGCTTAGTGGCATCTATACTCAAGAATACCAACCTTTGACCTGAGAATAATACTCTTCATCAATCCTACTTCAGTTATTAAACATTTAAATATTTTGGTGCATAGAAATCTCAGGATATTAGTTTATAGCTGAATCAAGTAGGTCATCTCTGAGAAACCTGCTTTGTGAAAGTCATTGCTTAAGTCTGAAAATGTTTGTTTGGACTGTAGAATGATCAGACTGTGCCGAGTCCATAAGCAGTCCGTTTTATGATTAAACTGGTTGGTTGGTTCAGCAATCCGGTCCAAACGCAATGTAGTATAAGATACTTCTGTTGGCTTTTTGCTTTAATGGACCAGATAAAAATACAGTTGATCAATGAACAACTGTCCTGATACAGACTTTTAACAGGTAATTTATAAGAAGCAAAACTATAATGAGTCTAGAAATTAAAACACAGTGTTGCCAAGTTAGCTGGGGTGTGTAATTTCATAAGACAAAGCTTTCTAAGCTATCCAAGAGCTTGGTTCCCTGCTTCGTGTTACTTTATAACTTTTTTGAATGCTTCCTGCTCTTCTGCCCTTCAAAAAGTCCGCTTTTCAGAGTAAGCTACCAATCAAGCGTGGATTCAAAAGTGAGTAACTTTTGGCTTAGGTGGTGCTGCTATGGTAATCTGTTAATCTTTTTAAAAAGATACAGGGGCAGCGGCAAAAACTGAAGAAAGCCAGGAGGCAGTGACTGATGACAAAAGTCATCTAGCTGCTGAATCCAGTACTGCAGGTAAGTAATTTAATTTTTGAATTTCATACAAATCTATAAACGAATCATATGCTCAGGAACCAGGTTGCAATCATACAAGAATCGGGGAAGATTTCTAACAGCAGAGAAATAAGGCTTGATCCAGGAAAGGTTGCTTGTGCACTGTCTTCCTTACTCAGAACTTACTTCTAACCCAGCCAGCCACCAAAGCCAAAAGCATTCTTCAGGGCTTACCCACCTTGAAAAGAAAATTCTCATTTTGTAAGGATTTATCAGTAGGTGAGTAGTTACTCTCATGCTGGGCATTAAGATGTTCAGAGAATTATGAATTAATCTGCATCTTGTGATTTGCAGTAATTTGATGTGAATGTAGAAGTTAACAGGGAAGCCTTATGTTGGAAATCAGTTTTCTCAGTTGCTGGCAATCACCCTTTCAATGTCTGGTGTAAGAATTAAGGTGAAGGGGAACTTAAACAGGGTAGTTAAGGAGGTGTCATGGCTGCACGTGAAGGAAATATAATAATGGAGTTTTACTGTATGACCTGTAATTTGCTACCGTTGCCATGGGTAACTACTTTTCCTCATGTTTGCATTGTCATCAGGTTGCATTCTCTCTCTGTGTTGCATAAAGTTCTGTTGTTAGCTGTGTTTAACGACATATACAGCCAGATCCCTGATACACAGGACTTAGCTTAATGAGAACAAATAGCTTAATACAGGGCATTTCCTTCAGAAAGCAAGGAGAAGAGGGTACAGGTGCATAAATTGCTGAAGGAAAGCTTTATGAAGCAAGCACATCTTACGTGATCCTGCTCTTGAAGTTGATGCAGACTGATAGCACTTGATACTTCAGAGGAAATTATTAGGATCAGAGATAGTAGGAAGAAGTTGTTCCAACTATCAGGAAAGATATAGAAGAAAGGGAGAGGGCAGGCCTACACCAACATTTGGTAGAGTCAATAAGAACATATTTTCTTCATTAGAGCTGAACATGGCGTGGAGGGGATGTGGAGCTTGTGAAGTGCTTGTTAAAGCCTATTGGTTCAGAAAGAAATTTTTTGTCTTCTCACAGCTGTGGAGAAGGTCAGCTGCTGCATACCTGAGGGCGTTCCCATAGACATCACGGTCAAGCTGATGGTGTGCTTAGTTCACTTGAACATCTTAGAGCCACTCAATGTAAGTAAACCAACTCAGAAGTTGGGGGCTGTTCTAATAAATTACCAAAGCAAGTAATTTTTCCTGTCTCTCCTGTTGAGAGAGCTGCAGAGATTCTTTTTGCTTCCCTCCCACTCCAAGAGAGAAACCTAGCAAACCTGTAATAGCAGAAATACTATTTTTTGTCCTTATAAACTATGCCTCCAGTGGAAGTATTACTAAAGCACAGTAAATCACAGCCTATGTGCTGTGACAGGCCCAGTTCTTGGACACTAAGGAGCACCTTCTTGCTTTGTTTTAAAGCTCTACTAAATCTGAAGACTGTTCTTTCATAAAGAGCACTCCTCACTGATGGGCACTTTCACCCATTGGATGTGAAATGTATGGATGGGTAGGACATGAAATGTCTAGAATAGAAAAATGGCTTTTTCAGGAATTTTGAAATTCACGTCTTTATTTTTCACTTTTAAATTAACATTTAAGTAAAGGGAATGTAGTTCAGAATGCAAATAGGATAAAAATCATAGCATAAAAATGTAAGCTTCCAATAACCATAAAGAAATGTTCTTGCTGGTTATCTGTGCTTTTATTGTTTTGTGTGTTTTTTTTAGAATAGAAAAATGGCTTTTTCAGGAATTTTGAAATTCACGTCTTTATTTTTCACTTTTAAATTAACATTTAAGTAAAGGGAATGTAGTTCAGAATGCAAATAGGATAAAAATCATAGCATAAAAATGTAAGCTTCCAATAACCATAAAGAAATGTTCTTGCTGGTTATCTGTGCTTTTATTGTTTTGTGTGTTTTTTTTAAAAGCCTCTGTATGTATGCATGTACGCATGTATGTATGTATTTATTCATTTATTTACGCGTGTACGCATTGTTTCTTTATTTCTTTGTGTGTGCGTGCGCGCGCGTGTATATGTATGTATGTACGTATGCATGCATGCATGCATGTATTTATTTATTTACTTTTAAATAAACGGGCGCGGGCGCTATTGTTACCTGAAGCCTCTTCTGACCACTCTGGTGGAACAAAATCCAGAAGAAATGGGTGACTTGTATTTGGATGTCGCAGAGGCATTTCTGGATGTTGGTGAATACAACTCAGCGCTGCCTCTCTTGAGTTCCCTTGTCTGTTCAGAACGATACAACTTGGCTGTTGTCTGGCTTCGGCATGCAGGTGAGAAGAAGCAGGACTGCTAAACACGTGGTACTGAGCGATGATAATACAATGCTGAGCATTGTATTATTTCCAGGGACCTTTATCTAAGATCACTGGAATTTTAGGTTCACGTGTTGAATGATAATAGGCATTTGCAAAACCATAATTGGAGTTTATTGTGACAACTCTGTCATGGAGCATTTTCTTGTTCTTCATATAGATTGAAATTGACTTCAGCTAAAAATACTTGATTTTCATGTAAGTGAAAGAGCATCTATTCTGCATTCTATCCTGTGTCAAATGATGATGCTTTAAAGTGAGACCCTGGATGCATCAGTACATATTTCTGAATATTTTCACTTTAATAATGGATGTTTTGGGTGGTTTTAACTGAAAAAGTATCTGAAAAGTATGTTAGCTATTCTGCAAGCTTTGAATTCTGCTTCTTCTGTCATTTAAGTGTATCGTGTCATTTATGGTATTTCTAGAGTGCTTGAAGGCTTTGGGACACATGGAGCGTGCTGCAGAGAGCTATGCCAAAGTTGTCGATCTTGCTCCATTGCATCTGGATGCAAGAATCTCACTTTCAACGCTTCAGCAGCAGCTGGGCCGACCTGAAAAAGCTCTGGAGGCTCTGGAACCAATGTATGATCCAGATACACTGGCCCAGGATGCTAACGCTGCCCAGCAGGTGGGTGAAGTGTTCTGTGCTTTCAGTTTAGGATATATTATTCTGCTAAACTATGGTAGTGGTCAAAGATATCAACTATATAGGACCAGGGATTGAGGCTTACTTATCTACAGCATGGTGAACCTTCAGAGCACAGCGCGTGATTCAATACAGAGTAGCAGGGGTGAGCCCTCATGGCTCTTTCTCCCTGACCATTTTATCAGTATTTCCCCTGTCGCACCTGATTACTTTTGTGTGATGTACAAGCTCTTGGCCACTGAGAACCAGTCTTGACGCCAATCACTTTGCATCAAATTGATCAGCAGCTGCTACATATGAACTACATGGGTTGGCCTCTATTGATTGTAACTGACGGTGTAGCAAAAGTTCTCTATCCCCTCTCCAGCAGCACCTTCACTACAGGTAAGCGTTATGCTGAATTTCTCTGAAAGTTGGGAATTTGAAACAGTAAATACTGCAGGGCAGTTCAGGGAGATCTTACCTGCTGCTGCTAAGATTCTTGCAGCTTTCTGGAAGCTTTTACAATCCTATTAGTACTGTATTGAATCAAAGTTGTTTGGTTTATAAACTCACTCTCTGTGCAAGAGGTTGAGTGACAATATTTTATATCGTCTAGGAATTAAAGCTGCTCCTCCATCGTTCGACACTGTTGTATTCCCAAGGCAAAATGTATGGTTACATAGACACTTTACTTACGATGCTGGCAATGCTGTTGAAGGTAAGCCAATCTTTCTAGCTACATCTTAGGAAATTGGACAGCTATGAGTTCAGTTAAGACAAGCAACAAAAAAACGCAGGAAGAAAGCTAATGGTTTTTATGGGCAAATGGTTTCATAATTTCATTAGATAATAATCTTGCAGGGAGCCTGTAGTACTGGTGTTCCTGCTTGTAGTGTTCAGAACAGAGGACCACTTGTGTGTGTAATACTGAATACAGTGACTTGAACTCCCTGTTTCTCAGTGTACGCAGAACACACTGAACACTAAAGCTGCTTCTTACCTTTTTGTCAGTTGGCACAGTGCTTTCTTGAAGTGTTGATACTGGCTTCTATTTCAACAGTTTTCTTATTAATTTCTTGCTTTTTTTGTTAATATTTTCTTGTGATAAAATGACCAAAGAATAATTTGCATAGCCAGTAAATACAGTGGTGGTGGGTTTGTGCTAATTGTTTTTTGTCTGTTTTTAAATAGGGAGGGAGGGGAATATTTAGACCTCAATTTTATCCATCTGGTCAGAGCCGTTACAGTTGTATTACCCTGCTTGAATAGCTGATGATCCACATGTTTCTGGATCTGATACAGAAATGCATTGTTCTTGTTATGCCTCTATGCAAATAGTTTTGATTTCAATTTATACAGGGAAGTTCCAATCCCAGGAAAAGTCTTTTAAGTCATTTAAAGAGTTGGTACCTTTCTTTTGCATAGCCGAGTTTGCACTGGAGCATGAGGCAACACGGAGATAATACTCCTCTTGGGAACGTTCTCTCCCATGATCTTGCTCTATTGTGGCGTTTCAAAGTTGCAGACTTTTGGCATGCGACGTGAGCAAGCTGGATTGGCCATAAAGCCGCCTTTGTTATAGGATGTATTAATGTAATCTGAAATGATGCCCTTAAATTTGTTTCTAGGTAGCAATGAGCAGAGCTCAGGTGTGTTTGATATCTAGTTCCAAATCTGGAGAGAGGCACCTCTATCTTATTAAGGTGTCAAGGGATAAAATTTCTGACAATGACGACCAAGAGACTGCAAACTGCGATGCAAAAGGTAACAAATGTTTATTAAAAACAAAGCAACAAGATGAACTCCTGAGTTCTGAAAAATGAAATAAACGTGTCTATTTTGTGTGTGAAATCCATGCAGCTTCTGTTAACATTGCTTTATTTCTAGGGCAAAGAAGGCAGCAAAAATGAAGATAATAGAACTTAAGGGAACAATCCCCATTCAGAGAAAATAGTAAGGTTACAGAATCATTCAGACTGAGAAGGACCTCTAGAGATCATATGGTCCAGCATTCACCTCAATGAAAATATAAAACATAATAGAAATACATGCTTTAAAAGTGGTGTGATACTTTGAACTGGCCCAGACTTGGTTGAGCCAGACTACACATTCTTATGCACCGTTTAGTAGATGAGGAAGAGTAACTTTCATGCATTCATGTGTATGCTTCCAACTTGAACTGTGTATATTTCTTGCCATTTGTACCCAAGTTTTGACTGGTGTTTTGCTGGTGTTTTACCACATGCACTTAAACCAAAAAAAGTAAATATTTTACCTGTTAATCCTGAGATGTTTTTGAAAAGATCAGTTTGATGCATGCACCTTTTTTCTTTTTTAAGAGTTTAGCTCTCTTGTTTTCATTTTCTTAACTTACTGACTTCAATATTTTTAGCAATTTTTGCTGTTCTCACGAGTGTTCTGACAAAAGATGACTGGTGGAACCTCCTCCTGAAGGCTATATATTCCTTGTGTGACCTCTCGCGATACAAGGAGGCAGAGCTACTAGTGGATTCCTCATTGGAATATTACTCGTTTTATGATGATAGACAAAAGCGCAAGGAGCTGGAATACTTTGGGCTCTCTGCTGCAATTCTGGACAAGAACTTCAGAAAAGCATACAACTATATCAGGTGGGATACTGAGAAGGTAGAGCAATCTCTTTTGTAATTGCTTCCGCCGGGGCTATAGTCATACTGCTGAAAATACTGCTAAAGGAGGCAGCCTGGTGCTTTCCAGCTGTCGCTAGAACAGATCAGGCTACTGAAACTAAAGGAGCTTTCTTGACAGCCTTTGATTCAAAAAAATGCATAATGCAGTAGGTTGGTCGATTTGGGCAGAACCATTGGTTGTGTCTTTCACTCTCAACTTTGCCTGAGTCACTGACCTGCTCCTTGAGTGTCTCTTCTTTGTTGTCTTCCCTAAACTGATGAGCTTCTTGTTGCAGATACAGTATTTACCATAGCATTTACTAATTTCTTGTATGCTTTTCATTCTGTAGAATCATGGTAATGGAAAATGTCAATAAACCTCAGCTATGGAACATATTCAATCAAGTGACTATGCAATCTCAGGATGTCCGTCACCATCGCTTTTGTCTCCGCTTAATGCTGAAAAATCCTGATAACCACGCATTGTGTGTCCTAAATGGGCATAATGCGTTTGTATCTGGCAGTTTCAAGCATGCTCTTGGTAATGTCATTAATGTTCTAATATTAACAAATTTAACAAGTGAATGTTTTTTTCAGAGAAAGATTTATTAAAGTAATTTTTTTCATACACCAGAAAATTATAGGTGACTTCACAGTGTTAATTTGGTGCTTTAATTACTTTGTACGCAAATCAAAGCATCACTAAGAGTTTTGCTAATAAAAATTAAGCCGGTGTGTTTCAAGTTTAGCACCCATTGCAAATATAACCAACTTGCAAAGATAATTGAAGGCTAATGATAATACAGAATAAGGAGGGCAGTAACAGAACAATTTAATCAGCAGAAAAAGTTCAGTGGATGTTTTAGGCAGGCCTTTGAAGTAAACCTACTACTTTCAGTCAAGCCCTCCAAATGCCACACGTAACATTTGTGGCCTCCAGGATATAAGTCCCAGCAAGGACTTTGTTTGCCTTCTGTGTCTGATTCTTTTCTGCTTACATTTTTACATCACAGTTTGCATTTTTCCTTCAGAATCCAAGGAGTGCTGAAAACAGAAAATTTTCTTTCATGTTTTTTTCCTGTATATTTTGATACAGGCATATTAAACTGTTTGTTTTCCTAGTTCACACTTCTAATTTGAAGATTTTCTTTTTTGCCCTTAAGTTCTTATGGAACGCCTTTCACAACAAACATCCTGACTCCATTATTTGCTTTTAGGACAGTACGTGCAAGCCTTCCGTGCAAATCCAGATGAACCTCTGTACAGTCTTTGTATTGGCTTGACTTTCATCCACATGGCTTCTCAGAAATACGTGTTGAAAAGGCATGCTCTTCTAGTACAGGTGAGCTTGTGTGAGTATTTTTACCTGTAGCGTTTCCTGGCTTTGTATCTTGCAGATGGTTATGGCTACAACATACTCTGTTTACGTAACTTTTTATAATTAATACGGCATTTCAAAAGAGGGAGGTGGTGAAACACAAACACAGAAGGAGTATGCTTTTGAACCATAGCTACACCCATCTGAATCTTCTCTCCTTTTAGTTAAATGTAGCTTGTTTTGCTGCATGTATACGATGATTACGCACATCACTGTTAGCAGCTGCCAGCTGTTTGTGAAAATACGACTAATTTCAGTCTCGATGGCTGTAGGCTGGATTTTTGTTGCAAGTCTTTCTTCTTGCCCTGCCTTGCTCTGAAGAAGTGCTGTAGAGTAGAATCTATGCCACCTGCCCTTCATGGACATGGCTCACGAACTGCATTGTTGAAGCAAACTTTACAGACTCAGAAAGTGGGTCTTTTTCCCCTTCTTCCTTTTCTCTTCCCCCTTTTAGGTGCCTCTTACAGGTCTCTTTGTAAAGATCTTGTGAAGTCCAGTTTAGGCTACCCTCAATTTTTCAGCTTCCTTATTCACATTTTTCTTTCATCTGCCAGATCCAGTTACAAACCACAGGCTGATTATTCCCAAATAGAATCTTGAAAGGAATTTTCTCGACTCTCCACTAAGTCTTTTCATTAACTTGAAATGCCTTTTAGTTCCTGTGGCCACTGAGCTCAGAGTCAGCAGAATATGGTGAGGATCCTGAGCTCTCATGACTTCTGAAATTGCTGAAAAACTGTAGCTGGCACTGATTTTGACAAAAGCTATAGGTCCTCAGCTAGTCTGTAAACAAGACCAATTATGTCAGCATCTACCTTAAGACATTTTGAACTTGCAAACTTTGGCCTAATTTCAATATTTGTATCCACTTCTTTCTGTAATCAGCCTGCCTTTCTTATATGGGCTGCTATGTTCTCCTTTTGTAAAGTACTTGAACAGTGTCCTATTTATGTTACCCTCCGGTGGTGCAGTCCCCTCCTTCCTTCTCATTTCTTGCTTACTCTTCTCGGTATTTTTACGTCCTCTCTTGCTCCTATTGTAGTTGATTGATTAATAATTCAACCACAGGTACATACTGGTGACCTAAATTATGATCGTTAGCTGCTTGTGTCTGAACTAATTCCTCATGTTGAAGGAGGCATCTTCTCTGATTACCGATACGGTCCCTAGAACGAAAGTCCTCTATTCACAACATTCCAAAGTGGTAACAAAATGAAAGGCACGGGAGAGGATGAAAAAGCTGTGTGCTCGATTCCTCCCTTCTGAATTCACCTCTTCTATCTCTCCCTCCTAAGTTTCCCCCAGGGCTCCTTTGGTGTCAAACGAAATGCTGCATTTTAATGTAAAATAATACAGTATACCTCGGCGGAGGACGGCCATCAGGTCTACCCGCTTCCGAGGCTCATCGGCGGGGGGGGGGGGGGGGGGGGGGTGCCCCCCCGCACCCACCCATGGCTCCGCGGCCGACCGTCAGGTCTACCCGGCGCCGAGGCTCATCGGCGGCGGCGGTCAGGTCTACCAGACTCGGAGTCCGACCGTCAGGTCTACCCGGCTCGGAGGCCGACCGTCAGGTCTACCAGACTCGGAGGCCGACCGTCAGGGCTCCCCGGCTCGGGGGGCCGCCCACAGGGGG